TCGTTCACACTTGTAATCCCAGCACTTTGGGAGGCCTAGGCGGGCAGATCACAAGGTCAGGAGTTTGAGACAGTCCTGGGCACCGAAACCCTATCTCTCCTAAAAATGGAAAAAATGAGCTGTGCGTGGTGGCGCCCGCCTGTAATCCCACTACTTGAGAAGCTGAGGCAGGAGAATCAATTGAACCCAGGAGTTGGGCGTTGCACTGAGCTGAGATTGTGCCACTACACTCTAGCCTGGTGACAGAGCGAGACTCTGTGTTTAAAAAAATAAATAACTTGTCCTACCTCCCTCCTACTTAGCTGCCAAACATGGGCGCTATCTGGGACCACTAACATTCTATGTAAGTAAGTTGTAGTCTGAAATTAAGAGTTTAATGAATTTGGCCGAGCTTGGCGGCTCATGCCTGTAATCCCAGCACTTTGGGAGGCCGAAGTGCGCAGATCACAAGGTCAGGAGTTTGAGACCAGTCCGACCAACATAGTGAAACCTTATCTCTACTAAAAATACAAAAATTAGCCAGGCATGGTTGCAGGTTCCTGTAACCCCAGCTACTCAGGAGGCTGAGGCAAGAATCACTTGAACCCGGGAGGCCAAGATTGCAGTGAGATTGTGCCTCTGCACTCCAGTCTGGGTGACAGAGCGAGACCCCCCCCCCCACCATCCCCCCCCCAAAAAAAAAAATATATATATATATATATAGTTTAATGCATTTAAAACTGGGGATGTTTCCCAGCTTGAGGTCTAGTATCGGTTTTCGGGCATCTTCCTTTTCAATGTCAATCCCAATCTTTTTATTTCAGCCTGTCCTTCTTATCCCAAATATTCTCTTTCCTACCTACTGACTTTGTGATGATGTTGGTGAGGTGCTGGTCCTTCACTTTTTTTGCTTTTGTTACTAAAAGGCACCAACATTTATTGATTCTTTTTCTTTTTTTTCGAGACAGAGTCTTGCTCTGTTACCCAGGCTGGAGTCCAATGGTGAGCTCTCGGCTCACCGCAACCTCCGTGTCCTGGGTTCAAGCGATTCTCCTTCCTCAGCCTCCTGAGTAGCTGGGGTGACAGGTGCACGCCACCACGCACAGCTAATTTTTGTATTTTTAGTAGAGATGGGGTTTCACCATGCTGGTCAGGCTGATCTCCAACTCCTGACCTCGTGATCCGCCTGCCTCGGCCACCCAAAGTGCTGGGATTACAGGCGTGAGCCACCACACCCAGCCTATTTATTGATTTTTTAAATCATTTGTGGAATATTTTTAGTCTTGTGAAAGCCATGACAAAATAAAAGTTATTTTCTGCCCTGAATTTGCTTCTTTTGCGCTAAAGGAACAACAAAGCCCACTCAAATACAAAACGCAAATCAGATTTTGTTTGTTTAAGACAAAAATAAAAAGGGTTAAGGTAGGATAGGAAGAAATTAAGGTGATGGAAGTAGCTGGCATTTTACATTTGTACATGGAAAGGGTAAAACTTGGAATTCACCAACTTTCTGGGGGTGGCCAGTAGGGCAGGGGTTGTCCCTGAAGCAGGAAATTGTGTCTCCTGTATGCAATGAGCAATTTTTTTTTTTTTTGAGACAGAGTCTCCCTCTATCACTAGGGCTGGGGTGCAATGGCACGATCTCAGCTCACTGCAACCTCTGCCTCCCAGGTTCACGTGATTCTCCTGCCTCAGCCTCGCAATTAGCCGGGATTACAGGTGCAGCTGATTTTTATTTTGTACTTTTAGTAGAGATGGGGTTTCACTATGTTGGCCAGACTGGTCTCGATCTCTTGATCTCATGATCCGCCCTCCTCAGCCTCCCAAAGTACTGGGATTACAGGCATAAGCCACCATGCCCGGACACAATGAGCAATTTTAACTTTTCGTGCTGATGTTATTTCAGAGTCCCCCCACTGATCCCACATGGGCTTTCATCATTCTTACTAACCTTTCAGGAATAGCTTTCAAACTGAAGGGTGTTTCAGCAGTCCCTAGAAACTTATTTTTCTTAACTTTAGTTGCTCCAAGCTTCCTGCTCACTCTCCTTAGGCCATCCCCTGAGAATTTCTCTTAGTAGGATTTAGGAGATTTGGCATTCATCTCTACATTCTAGTTCTGAAGATAAAAGTGACTTCTTTCCTACCTTGGCCAGCTGAAAAGAATCTTGCTACTAAGAATGCTATTAATATAAGAGACCCGTCAGCGTGATGCATAGAGTGCGGTAATTCTTGAAGGTTGGGGCCGTTTCCTTCAGGAAACCTCTCCTGAGGCTTTTAACTTGATGAGTTTTCTGTTGGCAGAAACAAGCCTTACCAGAAAGCTGTTGTTGAAAATATATCTGTCAATTTATATTTGCAAACTTTGGATATATGTGCTAGAGGAGGGTAAATCCTAGCATATTTGAGGCGGCAGTTTTGCCTTTTCTTTGACTCAATTTATTTCACCATCATTCTTTCCTCTTTTAAATTTAAACCTATGTGATTCTTAAAATGGGGCAGTGACTATCATTGGTTCTAAGTCCTTATTTATTGGCAAAACGTATAGTTACATAGGCACATCCAGGTATCTTAATTTATACTGTAAAACAATAAAGAACTCCAAGGCATTGGTCAAGCCTTTAGTGCTACCAAAATGCATATTTATTTATTTTACTTGTAAGAAATGTAGCATGTGCTATTCTTAGGAATCTAGATAATATAAATGGTTGTGCACAGACCGTTGATCTTTTTGTTTTTATATCTTTTTCCTTGCTTCTTAAAGATACCAGAGAAGCGTGAACATATTGCTTTGAAATCGACTTGCTGCTAGGAAAAAAGAGATTGTCTTTCTTGGAAAATTCCCTCTGAGACTCCTCTGATGTGTGACCTGGTGGGGAATATTCCAGCCTGGGAATAGTTTAACATCTGGTGTCTGCATGAGTTACCTCTGAACTCACTGGAACATTAAATGGAGGGTTTCCCTTTGTGTTGCCACACATTTTATTTCAGTAAAGATGTGCTGGTGAGAGTTTCAGCAATGTTTTAGCCTGAACAGTGGAATTACGGAGTAAGTCCCAGATCAGTGTGAAGGTATATTGTATTCCAGGGTGTTTCGATCTCTTTGCAGTGATCATGGTAATATCATTTCCTGCTTCCCCACGATGCCTTTTACTTTCTTGTCTATTGCATGCCTTCCCTGGCTAGAAATTAGTTTCATGAGAGTAGGGGATGTATCTCTTTTGTTCACTGCTGTATCTCTGGCTTCTAGAACATCGTAGGTGCTCGGTGTGTATTTTCTGAATGAATGGCTCTATAGGTGGTTAAAAGAACCACCTCAAGCCGGGTGTGGTGGCTCACGCCTATAATCCCAGCACTTTGGGAGGCCGAGGCGGGTGGATCACGAGGTCAAGAGATCGAGACCATCCTGGTCAACATGGTGAAACCCCGTCTCTACTAAAAATACAAAAAATTAGCTGGGCATGGTGGCGCATGCCTGTAATCCCAGCTACTCAGGAGGCTGAGGCAGGAGAATTGCCTGAACCCAGGAGGTGGAGGTTGCGGTGAGCCGAGATCGCGCCATTGCACTCCAGCCTGGGTAACAAGAGCGAAACTCCGTCTCAAAAAAAAAAAAAAGAACCACCTCAGAGATGCACCCAGTTTCTCTGTTTTTCATCTTTCCTTTCCAGCTATTTGCATGTGCGCTATCGTAAGTGCATACAATTTGAAGTGTGACAGAGAGACCTCATGGAGCAAGGAGAATAGGCTAAGTAGAGTCACAGTTGTCGAGCTTTGAAGAGTTTTCTCTTTCCCACTGTGGGTAACAGAATTGTGTCATCGGGTCAGTGAGAGAGACTGTGAAAATATTACAGAGGGACTTGAATTAACCTGGGGGGGCCCCGGAAGGCTGAATCACGCTTAGTGGTTTCATAATGTGAATTTCTGTTTGCAGGGCACGCTGTACCAGATTAATGTTCGCAGGTTGGATTTGCTCCCAGAAATAAACCCATTAATCTGCTGCTAAGCAGAAAGAGGAGTTTCTATTTTGTTTTGCCCATCCCCACCACCCCTCCATAGCCCTCCAAAAATGACCCTAAAATCAGGGTGTTCTCGGAAGGCTATGACATGAAAGGTAAAAGGCCCCCCCCCTGCCTTTTTTTAAACTTTGATTTACTAGGAAAAGTTGATCAGACTTACACTTTGAGGTTTTCCTTTTTTTTTTTCTTGAGATGGAATCTCGCTCTGTCACCAGGCTGGAGTGCAGTGGCACGATCTCAGCTCACTACAACCTCCGTCTCCCGGGTTCAAGCGATCCCTTTGCCTCAGCCTCCTGATTAGCTAGGACTACAGGTGCCTGCCACCATGCCCAGCTAATTTTTTGTATTTTAGTAAAGATGGGCTTTCACCATGGCCAGGATGGTCTCGATCTCCTGACCTTGTGATTCACCTGCCTCAGCCTCCCAAAGTGCTGGGATTACAGGCGTGAGCCACCGTGCCCAGCCAGAGGTTTTCCATTTCTGATTGGTTTTGAAGTATTGTTAGAGCTCAAATAGAGCAAAAAAACAAAAGTACCCACTGGCACAGAGGGAAGGAGGTTACCTAATGCACCTCTGAGTTTTGTTTTTTGAAATATGTATATGATTTCAAACGGAAACTACAACTTTGGTGAACATTTTGGTTTGTACTTTCAGAGTTTTCAGTTTATACATAGGAGTAGAACTTTAAATGTTTAGTAAGGAAGTCAAGGTCAGCAGAGTTTCGGGCTGTACAAATGTAGCGCTCTCAGCTATGTCCTGTGGTCATCTTCCCTCTGCTCATTTCACATTTCAGGGGGCAGTCTCAGCAGATGATGTTACTGCTCACCTGCACCCAGGTAAGAGTCCAAGAACCTACCAGGTGCATAAAGGAACTTGTGCTGTTACTTGACCACCCCTGTGAGCCAGGGTGTTCTCCCCTCCCTGTCGGCTGAGCTCTTTCTCTAAGATGCCTGTACCTGTGCTAATAGTGACTCCATTCTCCCCCTTTCCCCCCACTTTGCTGCAGACCATAAAACCATGGGAAACGCAGAAAGTCAACATGTAGAGCATGAGTTTTATGGAGAAAAGCATGCCAGCCTGGGGCGCAAGCACACCTCCCGCTCCCTGCGCCTCTCGCACAAGACGCGGCGGACGAGGCATGCTTCCTCGGGGAAGGCGATCCACAGGAACTCTGAAGTGAGCACCCGATCCAGCAGCACCCCCAGCATCCCCCAATCCCTGGCTGAAAATGGCTTGGAGCCCTTCTCCCAAGATGGTACCCTAGAGGACTTCGGGAACCCCATCTGGGTGGACCGAGTAGACATGGGCTTGAGACCTGTGTCTTACACCGACTCTTCTGTCACTCCCAGCGTAGACAGCAGCATCGTCCTCACAGCAGCCTCTGTGCAGAGCATGCCAGACTCTGAGGAGAGCAGGCTTTACGGGGATGACGCTACGTATTTGGCTGAGGGAGGCAGGAGGCAGCATTCCTATACATCTAATGGGCCCACTTTCATGGAGATGGCGAGCTTTAAGAAGAAACGCTCCAAATCTGCAGACATCTGGCGGGAGGACAGCCTGGAATTCTCACTCTCTGATCTGAGCCAAGAACATTTAACAAGCAACGAAGAAATCTTGGGTTCTGCTGAAGAGAAGGACTGTGAGGAGTCTCGGGGGATGGAAACACGGGCGAGTCCGCGGCAGCTCAGCACCTGTCAGCGAGCCAACTCCTTGGGTGACTTGTATGCTCAGAAAAACTCTGGAGTGACAGCAAACGGGGGGCCGGGGAGCAAATTTGCAGGCTACTGTCGGAATTTGGTGTCTGATATTCCCGATCTTGCAAACCATAAGATGCCACCAGCTGCTGCTGAAGAGACTCCTCCGTACAGTAATTATAACACACTTCCCTGTAGGAAATCTCACTGTCTCTCCGAAGGTGCCACCAACCCACAAATTAGCCATAGCAACAGCATGCAAGGCAGAAGAGCTAAAACAACTCAGGTAAAGTGATTGAAATTTGTTTCAATATTTTGGGACCGGTGCATGACTCTTTAAGTGCATGACTTTGCTCTTAGAAGATTTCCATCTTTTAATCGGGGTTTATCCTGTTTGCCTGTACTTGCTGCAGCTGGTGCTGTTTTGGTAGGATTCCTCTCTCCTGCTTTGCCCCCTCTTATAGTTCTGTGGTTAACGGGTGGGGATTAGGGAAGTTGGGGGTAGGGAGTGGCGATGTGATAGGAGTGGGAATTGAGCTAAGAAGTTCAGATCAGGAAACTGCTTCTGCATCTTAGTTCCTCAACAGCATCCCACTTACTCCAGCTTCCTTTCTAACTTGGTCCTTCCGTGGAAAAACAGGCATGGTGGGTTGCAGACTCTTGGAACTTACTTCTTCACTGCAGCAGGTGGGAGGAGGTTAGTCGGCAACTCCTTTGAGGAGGTATTTTAAATTCTGGGCGGGTTTGGGTCACTCGTCAGTTTCTCTTGGTGGTTGGCAGGCTTGCTACCTTACCGGGAGCCATTTCAATTTCCTGTTCCTTGCGATGCTGGCCAGCCCTGTCTCTGGAGGGAGGTGTAGCGGAAGGAATAACATGGGTGGCTTCCAGTTCTTATTTTGCAGCCAGCTAGTTGTTTGACCTTGGGCAAACCCTGACTTCGAGTCATTCCTCTGAAAAATGGGGATAAAGATGCTCAACTTGCCTGCTTCGGGGTCTAGCGTGTGAAACCGTGGGTGGGAAAACATTGTTAAAAGACTTTGCTCCAGCCTGGGTGACAAAGGCGAGACTCTGTCTCCAAAAAAAAAAAAAAAAGACTTCGGAAATGTCTTCCTAGTGAAAGGAGGCACCAGCACTTAGTTGGCAATGATAATTAAGATTAGGAATAATAGAATATTGCGTAACTGAGCCGGCTTGGTGGCTGAGCAGGGGGATCCTTTGAGCCTAGGAGTTTGAGTCCCATCTGGGCAACATAGCAAGACTCTCTGTCAATGAAAGAAAGAAATGTGGAGTAATCCTGCGTGCATTGGGCCTTTTCTGGTACTTCTGTTCTCTGAGGCAGAGTTCAGGGAATCTTGGCTTTTGCAGAGGATGGGGAGGTGGTTTGTAGGTGGTGCTTCAGGCTAAAAATCCAGACTCGGCGTTGAATGGTGGAGCAGCCTCAAGGGTGACCAGCAAACGCCACTGCAGTCAGCACTCTGATCTGGCCAGTAGGAGGCAGTGCTGCACCTTCCGTCTTTGCTCCAGCGCAAGTCAAATGGGCATTTCAAGGTGATGTTCTGCTGGAAAGGGGGTCTAAATATAATGGGCACATGATGGAGGACGTAGTGGGAGCCAAGAAAAAGAAAATTGACTCTAGACTGTCTGTGTTCCTGCCTGAGGACAGGTCTTGCTGATGTGTCCAAGCCAGGTATCTTGGCTCCACCTCTTCTTCCCTGGGTGACTTTGGATAAGTTGTTCACTTTCTTGTAGACTTAATTTCTTCATCTGTCAAGAGGGGATGATAAGACTCTTTGAGAAAGTGGAATGAAGTAATATGTGAAGCATGGTGCCTGGTCCTTTGGAAGCAGCCAGTAAGGGCAACTCTGTTAGCTTTTGTAATTTCCACCATTGTTAGTGGAGCCGTAGGGGTTGAGGACCCGGGGTAGTTGTTTGTATTGGTATCTTGAGTACTTCATAAAGTTGGAAACAGTAGACACTGGGGACTCCAAAAGCTGGGAGGGAGGGGAGCAAGAGTTGAAAAATGAATTATTGGATACTGTGTTCCCTGTTTGGGTGATGGGTTCAATAGAAGTCCAAACCTCAGTTTTACATGATATATCCATGTAACAAACATGCACATGTTCCCTTGACTCTGAGGAAAGAAAAACACACTCGTGTCCTAGAAACCAAGTTGCTAAAAAGTCTGCATCTATGGTCTGAGAAGGTAAGCCTGAGGCTTGCCTCTGGATGCACTCCCTGAATTTTAACCCATCTCTTCTGAATTGAGATTGTAATGACACAAATGACCTGATAACCCACCTGCAGCCCCTCTCACTACCCCGTGAGGGCTACTTCTGCACTGTCAATTTGACAGATCAGGGAGATAGATGACCTATTAAAGGGTAACCTGAAAGGCATTGAATGTCTGTCTTGAAGACATCATTGGATTGGCACTGCAGGACTGATTCAAAGAGATGATCTGTGGGGCCTTCGGAGCTTAGAGAAGGATACACGGACATAGATCGTTAAAAACAGAACATCACCTTTGACTTTCACTTTTTCCTGAACAGTGCTAGGTTAGTGCATATGCCGTGTAAGATTTGAGAGGGGTACCCTGCTGTATTTTGGCTCTCTATGGTTCTGACACTAGGGATGTCTAGATCTCTGCTCTCCCCAACCCTCAATGGCTGATGGGGATTTGAGCCTTTGAGTTATGGCTATCCCCAGAAAATGGGCAAAGCAAAGGACAGTTCTCCCGTCCAGGTCTGGTACCGCTGAAAGCTCTTATCTGTCATTGCTTTATGGAATTTCCATTCTTTGGCTTGTCACCTTCTGAAATGGTTAATATATGGAAGTGAGATCATCTAAAGGTGGTGTCTCATAAAATCACCGCTTAGGCAGCCTAATGTAATGGGAAGTGCCATGGGCCAGGAATCCTAAGAAGGGCATTTGCATCCTGGCATGTGTGCTTACCCTGTGGTGACCTTGGGCCAGTCACTCCATCTTCTGTGCCTCAGGATCTGTTTCTGTCCAGTCGGAGTGACACCAGCTTCCCACAGGGCTACAGGAGAACCAAACCAGATACCGTGTGTGGAACCCTCTTGCGGAGCCTAGAAAATGCACAGAAGTATTATTTTTGTATTGACTTTATATGTTGAGTGAGGATCTTTAATGACTTGAAACAAACCCCAGAATTTATGCATAACACTATCCACCCGCCCACATTTCCTAGTCTAAGTTTGGCGTGTTCATCCACGCGATTTCTTGGGAGCCCACTATGTTCCAAAGAGTGTATTTTAAGAGGCGGTGGGTGTGGAGGCTTCCTTGAAAAGAATGCTTTAAGAAAAAAATTTTTTTTTGGAAAAAGTTTTTGACCCACGGAACCTCTCCAGTGAGCTTGAATCATAGATACTAAAGTCTCCTTGGCTGCCTGGTGATGTCGTTTAATCTGTGATCATCGTGTCAGCAGTTTCACTCCCCAGAAAAGAGCTCCTGGCAGACATTTGACCCAAGAGCATGACCCCTAAGCCTGGAAGAAAACACATTTTATCTGGAATAATGTGAACAACTTCATTTGATTTGAAAATGATCAAAAAGCGTTTTCGGCCATTCTTCCCATGTTTGCATTTTTTTCAGTAGTTGGACGGATTTTGAAACGTGAAGATATTGGAGTTCACATTTCAGTCTTCAACAGTGGCACATAGGTGCTACAGGGTCTGGCTGGCAGTTTTTGGTTTAATTCGTGTGCTTATGAGCATGTTTATTGTGCATGCACATGTGTGCTGTGCAGAAAAGGTTGTCTTGGAGTCAATATGGGTAAAGCCTCATGCTATTTGAAGCAGAATTTTTTTCTGTTGGTTTCTGTGAAAGTACTTAATAGGTTGCTCCTTGGATTTAATTGACGGCTAGCTTATCTCTGGGCTTGAACTTTATGAATTTCTTTGATTATAGACAGAGGAGGGTGCAGCCTAGTGTCAGACAAAGAAGTTAGCAGCATATCTGAGCTTGCAAGGTTGAGGCTGTTACCTGTTGGTTATTTATTTATTTACTATATTTTAATTAGTTGTTTTTTATTTTACTTTAGGTCTATATCTTTCATTTCTTCCCATGTTATACTATGTCTGTCATTTCTTCTCAAGTTATCCCTCCCCACCTTCCCCGCCCCCCGCTGTCTCTCCCCTACCCCGCCCCCCCAACTGTCTCCAGCGTGTGATGCTCCTCTCCCTGAATCCACGTGTTCTCATTGTTCAACACCCACCTATGAGTGAGAACATGCAGTGTTTGGCTTTCTGTTCTTGTGTCAGTTTGCTGAGAATGATGGTTATTTAAATTCCATGGTTCTCAATGCCTCTTAAATGAGGCTGGAGATCCTGCAAGGGAATGAATGGAAAACTCGTGGCACAGTTTTACACATACAAATGCTTAACACATAGGAGTTGTTAGTTGTGATGGTGAAGATTGCCTCATTGTTCTGGGGTTCGGCTCCCCTGTGTCTCTGAGACTTTCAGTGGGTGAGCTGGAAGAGAGAGAACCCTGCCATTTGATGGAGTCTTGTCGCCAGGTTCTGTGTTCTGTGGGAAGCCTTGGCGTGGAGCCACTGTGCATGCTTGTGAGGAGAGCTTCATTCATCCACTTGGGAGATTAAGGAAGGCGGCTAGGTTGTACTGAGTGTGTCTCAGAGAACCTCAGCCTCAGGAGAGCAGCAAGGAGCCCTCCCTGCTCAGGTGTGGTGCTGGTGAGTCAGTCTGTGAGTTTCACTGGCCAGTTTCACACAGCAGCATTCCCAGAAAAGAAAGAGATGAAGAAAGAAGGTGTCACAACTAGATGAGAACCCATATGTTTTATTTTTTATTATGTATTTTGTGAGACAGAGTCTCACTCTATCATCCAGGCCGGAATGCAGTGGCACGATCTTGGCTCACTGCAACCTCTGCCTCCCAGGTTAAAGCACTTACCATGTGAGTAGCTGGAATTACAAGCACGCATCACTGCGCCTGGCAAATTTTTTGAATTTTTAGTAGAAAAGGGTTTCACTAATGTTGGCCAGGCTGGCCTTGAACTCCTGATCTCAGGTGATCCTCCTGCTTCTGCCTCCCAAAGTGCTAGGATTGCAGGCGTAAGCTACTGCGCCCAGCCAAAAACCCAAGTCTTCTGACTTGTTGATCAAGGAGGACCTTTTCTTCCAAAGCACACACCCACACGGCACTACCTCCCCATGCCTGAAAAGGTTTCAGTTCAATATCCTCAGATTTTAAGATCAAAACCCTCAATTCTGGTACAGACACACACACAAAAAAGGACTTGGCT